TGTTGGCAGAACCTCAATTAATCAAATGTATCCCGAGACTTAAACGAAGGTTTTCCATCTCTGTTGCTGAATGTTATTTAGTACATATTATTAGGTTTTCTACTCTTAAAACTAGCAAACTCAGTGTTCTCTATTCTCTCACCTTCATTTAAATTCTTCTGAGCTTTTCTGTCTGTTTTATGGTGATTCAGTAAATATCAGAATCAATTTTACTGAAGTTTCATGCAGATACCTAGGTATGCAGAAACACTCTTGTCCTGATTTTCTTTGTGAGGACTGTACTGTTTGCTTCTGTTTGATTGCTGGCTCTGGTCTGTTTAATGGCTGAGTCTGTGCAGCAAGTGGGAAAATTGCCTCTTTCTCTTCCTTTGTCTGCTGCACTCTGGGCTGGTAAAACGACACTGGAGAAAGACAGGAAACCCTCATCATCCCTAAGCAGATGGGAGCACTCAGAAACTATGGAGTGCTGGATGAAACACGGAGCTTTGCACAGCAAGAGCTGAGACTGGAGCAGTAAATAACACATGTGACCAGGCTGCAGAGGGGACTAGGAAAATGCATGTGTGTGTCAGAGCTTTTTGCAATTGAGGAAACCACTGAAAGCTGATGAACTAAAATTTAGCTGAGCTGAAGGAAAGACCTGCCAAGAAAGGGCAAAGAGAGCACAGCTGACTGATTCTAAGTCTCTCTACCTTAATACTGTTAAGTATGTCTTATTAATACTTAAGAGTTTTGAATCCCTTTTACTGGTTGCAATGTATCTATCTTCAAAGCCAGTCTACCTCAAGGCCTTCTTGAGTTTTCACTGCTTTGCGACCTGGAACTTGAGATTTTATCATTTAGCTTGAGTTACTCACATTTTTCTGCAGCACATGTACAGTTTTTTGCTGGGATGAAGTTAATTTTCTTCATATTAATTTGTATTATGGTGTGTTCTGAATTTGTTATGAAAACGGTAGTTGCTGAGCACTGCTTACGTATGGTCAGGTCCTTCCCTGCTTCTCAAGCTATCCCTGCATCAAGCAGACTGGGGATACACGAGAGTCTGAGATGTGATACAGCCGGGACAGCTGACTCCAACTGACCGAAGGAATATTCTGTGCTACGTAACATGATGATCATTAATAAAAAGTGGGGGAAAAAGAAGCAGGGGAGTTTGCTCTGGGGCTGCGGTTGCTCGGGGCAGGCTGGGCATTGTTTGGATAATGGTGAGCAGTTCTGTTTTGCATCACTTGTTTTTATTTTTTCTTGGCTTTGTTGCTGCGATGTGTTGTTTTTTTTCTGAGCTTTTTTCATACTTACGAAGCTGTCTTTATTTTTACCTACAGGTTTTCCAACTTTTGCCCTTCTAATTCTCTTCCCCAATTCAGTTTAGGGGCAATGAGTCAGCAGCTGTGTGGTACTTAGTTGCATATTAGGGTTTAACAAAACACAGGAGTATAATGTCAGTGATAAATTATCATGTAATTCCTGAAGTGCTTAGGTATGAAACGTTTGTGATGGCTGATACATGGTGTGATTGTTGAGTGACTCATTTATAGCATTCAACTGTGAGAAACTTTTCTTGGCCCAGAAAAGTATTTGTATTGTTTGTTTCATTTATTCTGTTTGAGTGAATTCAAGTTCTAGGATGGTTTTTGAGGTACGAAATGTTTCTAATAGAGTTTGAGTCTTAGTCTGTTGGAAAAGATTTGCTTTACCAGGCCATAACTCAGCTGATGGAGGTTGCTCTATAGTAAAGTATTGATGCCTTGGGATAATGTTTTAGCAACGTCAGTGAAACAGAGGCAGTGGGAATTCAGCTCTGTGAGTCACTAGCAGCATTTAATATTCATACTTGCATAATGTAGGAACAGGGCTATCACTCATGAAATCAGCTGTCTAAATGAAGCAGTTAAGTGATGAGCTGTTAACTTAAGGAGGGCTGGAGCTCTTTTTGGTCACTGTTAAAAAGGCACTCTTTTCAAGAGCAAGTGAAGATCATCAGGGTAATAATTTGCAACTATTTAGGGAGCATGTGATGAAATTAAATTTTTGATCCTGTTCATCTCTTTTTTTCCCCTCCTCTTCCTTTTTTCTCTTTCCATCCACATTTTCTCACAAAAAAGAATGGTTTTTCTATCCTGGATTCGTACTAAAGACTCTTGAGATGTCACAGACTGGACACCCAGACATTTGCTACCAGATGATATAGAATGAGTAGGGGATGAAAATTTTAAGTGAATCAAGATAGTTTACTCATTTTTTAGATCAGCATCTCCTTTAATGTTACCATCCCTGTGCAGACATTGCCAAGTTATTCAGCATTGCTTATGGGTAACAAATATTTGATAGTACAGTTAAAGAAAGCTCAGCATTACTTGAATTCAGCTTTTGCTGATTTTAGGATAAGACTGAATACAAATAATGAAAAGGAGAGGTTATAAGTTTTATGTGTACGTATGTAAGTAATTCTAGTATGTTGAACAAGAAGTACTTTGTGAAGGACTTCATGGAAGGTGAGTGATTTTTTTTTTTTCCAATGATAGATAAAAGTAACATTTGCTAAGGTTTTTGTATGATGAAATTTTCTGTTTCTCAAAGAACTTCAGGAAGCAGAATGGTAACAAAGAGCATGCACAGGAGGAGGTATGTCTTGAGGGGTGGCCTGTGGAAGCTCCCATGGAGGCCAGAAAAGTTGAGAAATGAGAAACACAGAGCTTCTAAGGGGGAAAACTGCTCTTTGGTGACACGCGCCCCACTGATTGTTTCCTACACAGTTCCTTTCTCCTCACACTTCTGCTCTGCTCCAACCTGGGTCCTCTGCTTCGGCTACAGTCCTTCACACAGGAGTGGGTTTCCTGGTCTCTGTCAGAGCCATAGTCCCTGTCAGGAATGTCCACACCACTCTGTTTCTTGCTCTGCGTGGGGTCTTCATGTTGAGGAGAGCAGCATGTAGGAACTGCTTGCCTAGGGAACCAGGAAAGTAATGCATAATGGATTGTCCTGAAGGATGGCCAGAGATACCGTGTTCAGGACCTTGAGAAAATCCAAGGAGGATTTTCTCCATCCACACCAGACAGGATGTGCTGTTTCAGTAGTTCTGGCCTAAAAGTTCTGACAAGTACACATGAGTTTTGGAAAATTAGGTAGGGCACTAAAATCTTCCTTCCAAAACCACGTGAAAGTTAAATGCAAAAATGCTTGTTAGATTTTTTTTCTCTCACTGCACTGATTGTTTTGAAGAAAGAGTAGGAATGCCTCCAAATTGTTGATCAGTATTGCCTAATGTCATGGTTCTATGTTTTTTGGGTTTCAGTATTCCACATCAAGACATCATGTAGTGTGCAGGGCATAGAACCATGACACCTATACACGTATGAACTCGTAGGTTTCCAGAAATTGTGTTCAGAATGTGAATAAAAGTAACAGAACTGTAAAGGAATTGTCCTCTTCTGGGAAGTAAAAACAGATGTGTAGCACAGGTAGACGTGAGCTCTGGCATCAAGACTGCTATCAGTGTCAGTGCTATGTCATTTTTATGTTTTGCAGATGGGCAAATTATATTGACTTAATAACATGTAGCTACATTCCGGGAAGAATTTGAGTGTGATGTGTATTGGGACTGAGGTTTGTAGTCCTCATGCTCTGGTCATGCAGTTTCTGCAAACCAGTGGCTGCTTCTCATCATTGAAAGTGCATCTGAAATGGATACAAGTATACCTAGTGGCTTCTGTTTCTATTCGTTGTTGCTTTAAAATTTTTGTTTCTGCTTATAATAAATGAAAAATAAATGGAATTGCTTTGGCTAATGAGAAAACATCTGTACTTCTAGCACCTTTGTTGGCAGTTGCATTGACAGTGTATAAACTGCAGCTTAATGCCTGGAAGTTATTCTTCCTCATTAGGTGAAAGAAGAATTGGCCCAGCTGATGTTTGCCTGGGCTTCTGTCTGATAACTCAACAGAAGCCCTTTGAAAACAGGCCTCAGTAATCTTTTTCAACTTATGTTTGTGCATTCCCATTTTTCTTATTTTTTTAATGCTACTGTTACAAATAATAGAAAATGTCCACATGACAAAATAAGCTATTGGATTGTTTTAAGGTTATTTGAAGAAACAAGTGTGGAATAAAAATTGATGTAATAAGGTCTTTTACACTAATAGATGGCATCTTCTTTCAACACTTTACACCATAGCAAGTCTCCTTTCTCTAGTTTTATTTCTGTGAAGTGCAATATTTCAGACTAGAATCTATTTCTTTAGAATGATGATTGTAACTTGCTTTAAAAATAAATAAAAATAAAAAGCTCAACACAACACACAAAACCAGCAGCATGCAACTCAAAAAAAACACTGGGTACAGTCTTCAGTAAAGTTCTTTCTGTTCTTCCTATGATGACCATCCTTGCTATGGATACTTGGCTTTGCAATCTTGTAAGCAGTAACGTAATACAGGTAAAGTCTTTAATGAGCCTTTACCAGAAGGGCAGAAAAACCTCTGTGTGGAATAAATGTATGCACAAAGGGAGTTAGTGCAGAATAAGTTACTGCATTTTTGATTCTCACCCTCACTTTTGCTTCTCCAAATTCCCTCTGTAGACAGGCTTAAGGGAGGGATATTTTTTTAAGGATGTAATTCAATTTTCAGAGGGGAATGGAATTTAACAGCACAACTGTCATTACAGTTTGTGAGCTGCATGTAAAGACAGAGTTCTATGGCTTAAATTTTTAATGCAGCTGTGTTTAAAATAAATGTTTTATGTTCTGCTGCAACATCAGTTTTAGGTCATGTGAAACTAAGCTAGTTTACCTTCTCTTTAGACATATTCCTAGCTATTGTTAAATAGAGCATCTTTTAAGCTGCATCATGTGACCAAATGTCTACTAAATACACCATTTGTTGTAATGTTATTTCTTCAGGCTACTTTCCAGAAAAGAGAAGTATTTCTTACATGAGCCTATGTGTACAGCAAGTATCCTGTTTTCACCCGCTTTTTCATCCTTATTTTTTTCCATCAGAAAGGAGAGCCAAACTGCAGTGCTCTTTCTCCAGAAACCACAGAGCAGCTGACCTTTGAGATTCCTCTGAACGATTCTGGCTCTGCTGGACTTGGTGTGAGCTTAAAAGGCAACAAATCTCGGGAGACTGGAGCTGACCTTGGGATTTTCATCAAATCCGTTATTCACGGTGGTGCTGCTTTTAAGGTATGGAGTAAGTAGATCAGGCTGTGGTTGCATTAGATTTTTGACAGTTGGTGTTTGGTCCCAAATCTGTCTTGGTAAATCTTCTGTGGATGAGGAACTTCTTGCCACTCACTCCTCTAGTGAATCTGTCAGTGGAAGCAGACCCTGTGGGGCATTTAGATACTGGAGGGATGGCAGGGGAGGAAGATTGAGGGTGTGTGGATGGGAGCAGAGGCTGTCTCCATTACTCCCTGTAGCTCACAGAAAGAAGTGGGAAAGTCTGCTGTGCTGTTAGACCTGGGGACAGAGGAGTTATCAGCCAATCTACTCTGCTTTTGGTCTTCCCAAACTAATATAGGCAGACCGATAAAACAATTAAAATTTATGAAAAAATATGAACTGGCAATTCTGTGAGGTTAAGAATTATGTATTTAATAAAATATCTAAACTATTGTTGTCAGCATGGCTTATCTCAGCCTGGCATTAACTGTGCAGAAGTTATCAATTGTTCCTCAGGTGGACTGAGTTGGTATGGGACAGTATTATGAATCCCTCTTAGAGTTGTACTAGAGCTACTGTATGTTTTTAATTAAGAAGGATTGGATTACTTTCTAAGCTTTAGGAAATGTGGTATTTTTTTTCCAGATAAAACTTGAAAAAAGTATCTTTCTTGAATTCTTTTAAGAAAATCTTAATTTGAAAGCATAGTACCTGTAGCTGTTGTCTGTGGATCCATAATGTAACTTTTCTTGTCGTTACATCAGTAATTCCTTGCAGTTTATTTTTCTGTAAAAATATACCTTTTAATTCAGTTTGTCAATTTGTTCACAGGCTTTAGCCTCCTGAGTAAGACAGTTCACAGCATAATAACCTATTTATGATGTTTGGTAAATAGTAATCATCAAGGCTTTTGCTCTGATATGAATGTTTCCGGCTCCTATTAGTTACCTGTCCTAGTCCCATAGATATTTCATAGCTTGGATCTTTAGAAAAGCAACAGCTTGATACATGCAGTACAGAATTCTGCCTGTGATTAATTCCAGGGCTAAGTGACAAGTGAATAAAATAATCTCCTTGGTGTATATCAGAACTGAGTTAAAGTGTGATTGGCAAATTAGAGGTTCATAAACTCATGCATGTCTGCCACAGAGTACAGCTTATTTTACTGTGAAGATGAAACTGCTGTCCTTGCTTTCCCACCTCCATGTTCCCTGAATAATTATCCACATCAGTTGCAATGCCAGTATGTGGCACCAGAAGTAAATTCATTGTTTTGACTAGCAAGGCTTGTGGACTGATGTCCCAGGAGCATCAGTGGGCATACTTCCTGACCAGCATTGCCATGTCAGAGATGCATAAGCTAACTATTTTGAGGTCTTTCTGTTTACCACGTTCTGTTTTCCCCACTGTTAGTCCAGAGCAGTTAATTTTGGCTTTGAGAGATCTTGCAGACTAATAAAGCAGGGCTTCCTTACCCACACCTAGCTAAGTGTGCACCTGACGCTACTGGACTCCTTGGCTGGGATGTTATTTTGTCCCACAATACGCTGTGCTTCTGTGACTCCACCTCTGTACTCCCTCATACTTTCCACCAACTGCAACTGTGTATTGATAGATGAGTGTGGGTTACAAAACAAATGAGACCATAGCTGGGGCTCTGACTTTAGTCAGAGCTGCTTGAAGAACATCCTTTCCTATGTGTTTTATACAAGTACTCAGAGAGTGCAGTCATTTGAGAAGTATCTTAAGACATGGTTTACTGTTGCACATAAACAGAAAACAGCTGTCTTTCTCCTGTCTAAGGACCTTTATATGGAGCAAAACAAAATCAGTGGGTATTAACAATTAATACAATGTCTTGTATCAAGTTAAAAAAAAAAAAAAAACTGCACACATTTGTGTATAGATATTTAAACATGTTCTTATTGTCCTTCTTTTGAAAGAAGCTTTGTTGCAACATGTTCTTAAACATAAAGCCTTTCTTTCCAGCTAGTAGTTGTCCAGAGTATCTTCCCATGCTATTCATTGTAATTGTCTCTGAAATGAGGTATTACAGATTTAGGCATGTGCATTTGCAATTCAGTGTATGAAGTTTTCTTGGGAAAGTATAACATGGGGAAATCGTAATGCCTGCTGTGATGAGAGTTCTCTCATTTCTTAACAGACGTCTGCATTTAGAGCTTAAAAGGTGCTCTGATTTTTGATGACGTGATTTTTGTTAGGTGCTAATACAGTGGTACTGGAGATGGTTGGGGAGGAGCAGCTTTGTCCATACAGCCAACACTTCTTCTCGGAAGATGGTGTAATATGGAGATGATGAACACATTTGCTTCATTGCTGAAGTAAATGTTCAGTCCCTCTAATGCTGTATAAAGGTTTTCAATACATTAAATGCCTTTCTCCAGTGTACTGGAGAAATAACTGAAGAGTTATTTGTAAGACGTAGTCAGTTCTGAATGCTTACTTTTATCAGATTGAACAGAAATTCTGAGGAAAGGCCACCATTATTTTAGTGTGTGGTTTTGTTGTTGCTTTGAAATGCTGGTACACAAATCTAGCTCCCTTGTATTAGTAGCACTGCAAAGCTTAGTAAAAGGATTCGTGAAGAATGTTTGGGGCTTTTTTGTTTGTTTTGTTTTTGTTTTGATGCTAGGTAAAGATTTTTAAAAAATACTAAACCTTTTTGCTGCTAAACCCAATAAAGTAAAAAATTCCTAATTATTCCTAGCTAATCTTTTAATATGATGTCCTGCAGGATTAAAACTTCACTTTTGCTAATTGATTTGTTGGGTCTCTTTTTAAGCTCCTCTTGTAATTTTTAAAGTGTCTGTTTTACCTCTACTCTAAGAAAGAGGCTACTTGATATTTGTAAGTATGCAGAATCTGTTATGCGAGGAAATATTTGACTGAGTTTGAATACATCATCTTTCCCCACAACTTCTGGGAATTTCAGCCTTGTGCATCTTGAGACCCCTTGGCTTTTCCCTTGAGGTGAACTTGTGATTATCAGGTATTTGCTGTCTGCTGCAGCTGTAATGCAGCAGAACCATTATTAGAAATGATGGAATACTTTCCATATGCCTGTTCGTTCAAATCAAACATGGTATAGCTTGAACTTTCTAGGGGCTTCTGAGTGTTATTGCAGTAAATGTTGCTTGTTGTGTGCAGTGGATGGTGAATTGGATTATTCCATTGAAGGCTACCGAGGAATTCCTTCTGAGATAAGTGGCACTGATGTACTAAGGGAAATAACTAGGTGAGCTTTGATTAAATACATAACTCTACAAGGAATCTGGCTTTGTCTCTAAGCTGTACTGTAAAAACAAAAAGTCTTGTCTCTGAACGTGGTAGTCATGCTAGGTTTTACTCACTGCGACTCTCTACACAAACCCCACGTACTGAATAAACTAGGGAACAGTACCTTCACCCTTTATTAGGGTAGTTCAATTGCAGTTTTGGAGATGGCATTTGAAAGCTGTTTTGCTGAAATGCCAAATATTTTTCTACTCAGAAGCTGCAAAGAAGCCTACCTTTCAGAGATGAAAGAAAAAAAATGTGTTAAAACAACAACTAGTTTGTTTTGAGCCAAACAGATTGTCTTGTGGTTCAGTCTTTTAAACCAGATCATTACACTGGTGATGTGAAAACCTGTTTGAAAACCTGCTTAAACACTGAGATTTTTAGTCTTTACACGGCAAGAAAGTTTCTCTATGAAGCATCTTCTACCTGAGCATATGTGAAAACATTGTTCAACTGTCTTTCAGTCCTGCCTTGTACAGTTTTTTTTCTGATCATAAAAGTTGAATTTTGCATTGAATGGAGCATATTACAGAATGGGAAGAAGCGAGATGCATCAAAAGTTATTTAAAAACTGACGTGATTAAAATGTAAAGAAATAAATATGACGTAAGATATTAAAAACCAGCAGGCTATTTCAGAGGTTTCTGAGGCAACCATGGTTCATTTAAAAATACGCATTGTGTTCTGTAAAGTTGCATAGTCAGGAAATGTAATCGTGACATGCATTTGTATTCAGTTTATTAAGAAGCTTTAACACATATTTATATGTGGGTGCTTATCCACAGAAAAGAAAAAAAAGTGATCCGGGAGCCCATGGGACCTTAGCAGGAGGACATTAGGACCTGTGAAGTTTACAGTCTTAAAGCAACTCACAAAAACTAAAATCTCCTTTCTTCTAACTCCTGTTGCCATGAATGACTCCATTCATTTCAGCAAATTTTGATAGAACACAAAGGAATTGCAACATGTGCAAGTAATAAAACTTCCTGTTCAATAATGTTAACTCTTCTCTCCCTAAGCTTTACCATATGTGATGGCATCATTTTGAATGTAGAGAAAAGGTGGGGTTAACCTACTGACTTTGGGTATATGTGAATTTATATTGGCATGAAACATTCAAGAGAGGTGGGAGAGTTTTCTGTATCCTTTCCAAATGGTATTGCTGTTTCCTATTCTTCCTATTCTTCATTCCTCCACTCTTCCCGGAAAAGCTTTTCATCCTCCGTCATCTCATCTTTTAGTTCTATTTCCATCTTTTTTTGATGCTGATTTGTGCTGTTCTTCAGTTCTGTGACACCTCTTTCTATTCATGCTCTGCTGTGGTAATGTTAATGGTGCCAAGTTAAATTAAAAAAAATCACATAAGCAAGCTAGTTTTTTTCACAAGTATTGTAAGTCACTTCAGCACAAATGCCTGAGCCTTGGCAGCAGTAGCATAATAGTTAATTGAACATCTTAGTGGTAGAAAAAATAAAAATTGAAAAGTATATATATTTTGGATTACTCAAATGCATGAAATATGTAAACAGTTCAGATGAGTGCCTTATGCAGAGTATATAATGTCTGTGACTGAATCAGATTCATTTTAACCAATATAATGTTATTCTATGGAAGTTCTCCTAAGCTTTCTTCACTGCCCTTCTATTCTGGTCCACAATTTTATTACGCCCACAACTGTCAGTTAACCTTGGCAATGAAACAGAACAACTTTCTTCAAAGCATAGGCTATTTGGTATGTCTCAACTGCAATTTTGCCATTGACAGCAGGTTTGGATGTTAAATACATGAACAGTGCTAATTAAAATATGGTTGCTTAATTCTTAATGACCGTTCTGAACTGGCAACACTACACCATATGGCGATGTGGTAATTGTGACTAGTGGGACTATAAGACAAAGTTTTGGAAGTATCTTTTTCTTACCATGCCCTAGTAATGGATAACAATGCATGTAAAATACATTGCAGTACTGCTTCACAATTGTGCTGCAGATACTAACAGCCATAATATGGATCCCTTTAATTAACCAAGAACTCCTTTTCTTGTTTTCCTTTTTGTGGGTGTGGAGAGGCTGTTTCAAAATAATTTGCATGTGCAAGAAAAGCAGCAACGTGTAATTAACACATAAGTACGTGCACCTTATGAACTACTCTCAAAATGTAGTAAGGGGAACGAGAAATTGGTCAGTTAGAGAACATGAAGATTTTTCTTTTTAAAGATGAGGTACTGTGCAATCTCTTCTTACAGTAACACTTCTGCCTATGTCAACAACATAGAACCATGACAGCCTAATACTTGTTATTTGTTTGTTTATTGCAGGATGGCCGTTTGCGAGTAAATGATCAACTTGTTGCGGTAAACGGGGAGTCACTTCTAGGCAAATCAAATCATGAGGCTATGGAGACACTGAGGCGTTCCATGTCCATGGAGGGGAACATTCGTGGCAGGATCCAGCTAGTAATTCTACGGAGACTGGAGGCACAAACAGAGGTAAAGCGATAAATGTATTTGTTAGAAGAATGGCCTTCTAGTTTTAGCGTTTTTGTGTAGAGGAGATGATAGCCAGACTCATGGCTGCTGAGAGCTTATCCTGGCAGACTGAATTCCTGACTTTCTAGAAACGTGCATTGTTTCTGGTTGACATCTCCTGAGCTTGCTCTTCCTTTTGAGGCTATGCTAAAGTTTCCTCTTAGTTTAAACAGAACAGTTTGCTGTTCTGATAAGTTTTAAAACGGAAGTAAATGTCCTCCTAAGACAGATGAGTGGGAATTAATATGCTGATGTAGTTTTAACTATCTGTTACTTCCTCAGAGGCAACAGTTGAGATAGTTTATTTGAATTCTTCTGTTTTTGTTATCACGATCAATGTCCTTAATGTGACTTGAATTTTACTTCACTCTTGCTTTTTTGTTTTTGTTACTTTCATTCACTCCGTATTCTTGTGTTTTTAATTGCATTTCTCTTTTTCTTTTTCGCGTGTGTGCACATAAACGTGCTCTTTCTCCATCTTTTTTATACATGAATAGATGTGCATAATGGCTGCCCTAACTGCTCATCCTAGTTATAGTTCTAACCCTTGAATAAACATCTTAAGAGTTTTGACATCTGTTCCTTAAAATAAAAGTATACACTAATTGAATTGTGATATAAAGTGTGAAAATTCCACTACAGAATTCCAAGAGATGATTTTAAATTGTTTATTAGATAAATATATCTGAAACATTTTTATATATTGAGAACAATCCCATTTTTAAGTGTATTTGCATAGAATATAATAGGGGAAGGCCCAGAGCCTTGTAGCCATGAGTAACTCATAAAGCTTTCCTTGTAGGAGATGTATTTGATTTACTACCATCATTGATTAAGAATTCTGTTTAGAAGAATATTACTTGCTGAACATCATGCTCTTTGTTGGGAGAATACTTTGCATAGGAGTCTCTGTCAGTCTTGTTAGGAAAATGTGAAAAACATTCATCTGTAATGCTGGAATATTTTACAGGAAAGCACATTTTTACTTTCCAGCATTTTGTATATAGCTGCATGTACAAATGCTTGTTTTATTTATTGTGCATTTCTGTAACATAAGATAGCTCATCTTCTAATACAGCACACTCTTGCAAGTTTTCTTCATTTAGCAATAGTCAAATTTTTGGGGAAAAAAAAAATCAAACAAGCTCAAAAACTGTAATGCTCTCCAAACAAACATCATATTGACCTAATAAAAATGAGGCTGCTTTTTATAGATAAGTGTATAGTTCTGTATATTATCCAGATGTATGAAAAAAGTAAATCATCTTGACTCATGCCCTTTGAAGGATGCGTGATGAGGTCTTGATTGAATCAAATTCATTTTAGACAGAAATTAATTTTTATGGGTTAGTCTTTAGGTTCAATCGTAATTCCATTTGAGTCTGGAGACCATAGCAGAAATTGGTTGTTGCCCATTCTTTTCTTTCACCAAAACAGCTTCCAAAGTAGTGCATCTCAGCTTGGTAGAAGCAGAATACATTTAGAAATGCATTACTGTTTTTATTGGTCAGGACACTAATGGAGGTCTTCCATGACAGCTATGTTTTATAAGCTGAATACTCTAACTAGGCTGGCTACTGATCAGTTGTTGGGATATTGATTGTGTCATTTATCAAAGAGCTAGAAAAGCAGATTTGTTGTTGTTAATTTATCCTTATCCTACTGGGTACACTCTTGACTGATGCAAGGCTTAGTTTAGCTAGTAGTACTCATGAGAAAGTAGTAATTGTGGGCTTTGCTAAATGAGGAATCTTACATAAAATAAAGAATTTCCAGTAAGGAAAAGAACTGTAATTGTTAGTGTGCTGTGTTTGGCTGTGCTTCTGTACAAAGGCTCAAAATAACCTTTTCCAAGGACTCATGTGCACTGACAAGGGGAGAATGTTGTGTGTGCTGCCTCTGCACTGAGACTACATTTGTAGCCATGTTTTCACCACAAGCCATCTCTATGTTGGCTCGTGTTCTGTGCTGAGGTTCATATTTTGCCACTTAAAAAAAAAAAAAAAAAAAAAAAGTTATCCAAGAGCTTGAAAGGCAAATTACAAGTGATTTAACACACACTCCTTTCTCACGCACTGGTTTGGCACTAGTGTGCATCTTGTATGGTTGTACCAATAAATGATAGGAGTTAGACACATGCATCTCTTCTATGGGTACAACTATGTAGTTAAAGGAATTATATACTTAGTGTAAGATTTACTGGAATAATGTACATGCAGTTCAAAAATAGATGCCAATTGGGTGCCCCTACGAAACAACAGGTACGGGAAAACTATAAAGGTCATTCTGAAAACTATCCATAATATTCTTCTGTGTGGGTTTTCTGTTTTCCCTGAATAACGAGTACAGAAACGTCTTTCTGAATCCGTCCCAGTTTTACAAACTGTGATTTTTTTTTTCTTCTTTTGAACAACTGCTCAGGAGAATAAATTAGGCGATATGGGGGTGGGGAGTGCCGCAAAAGAAAAGCTGACTAGAGGTGTGACAGGAGTTTGTTTAGCTGCTAGCCAGAAGACCTGCGCTTGGGAGTTTGGTGTAACTCCGTACTTGCAAAACTGCTCTAGTGTGTGATCATCAGAACATATGTACTCAGTCTCTGAGAGAAGGATACCAGCTGGCTGGCAGAAAAATACCATTGGCATTGCCTGTGTTCTTGTGTTGACAATGTCACAAGCTGCCCTCCCAGATGGAGAATTTGAATGAAGCCAGTTGTGGGTCATAAAGAAAACGCTCCTCATTTTTTGTGCATCGCACAATGATTGTTAGTGCCGAGATACTGTCTTATTTCATGATCAGCAACAACAGTCGTTTTAAAGATGTCTTTTACAGTGTAAGCAGTGCACATTGCATTACACTGTTTCTGCACTGCCCGTAGTGATGACAGGGCTTCTGTACTGCAGAATATTTATTTTTTTATACAATGTGTGGTTCTGTTTTTTTCCTTAGGATCGCTTGGACCAGGGTGTCTATCAGAAATCAGCGTGTGATGGCAGTCATAACTTTGCAGCTATTTCCCGACGCAATGGTGCTGTTCTTCAGCAATTTGTAAACTGCGGCCCTCAGGAAAGAATTCAAGGTAGTCTTAGATATCTTTCTGTGCGCTGAAACAAAGTGCTTTTTATCTTTTTTCTTTCTCTTGAAATCCAGAGCCACTAGAAAAGCATTTAATTAGAGTAAGTGCATACTATGTTACTTTGAGGCATGAAGATACAGAGAGGCTGGGAGAGCTGACTCAGAAGTTGTGAATTAGATTCCTGGCACAATTTCCAGTTTAAGTAACAGTTTCTAGCTCACTGCCCCAACACGTAAGGTTGGTTAAAAAACAAATGATGAGTGCAAAATATATGTTGTCAAAATGTTTATTTTCTATATAACTTTAATGAGTTCAAAGATTTTTTTATTGGTTAGATTTATGTCCCATGTTATTATCAATTAAATGAATTTATACGGAAGTGTAATATTCATAAACTATGCTTGCTTGTTTTTAGCTAAAAGGAAAAAATTGTTCAAAGGTTAGAACCTTTAAACCCCCAACGTACGTACAATTAAGTTGTTTAAAAAAATGTACAGAGAAGATATGCATGTATGAGTATAAGCAAACGTACCAGTAGGAGCTTTGAAGACTGCATACTTTTCCTGTTATCTTTCATTTCTGATTGCTTTCTGTATATCTGTCTGATTTGTACCTGACTCAACAAGATACTAGATAGGTGAAAAATTTAAATATTTGAGGTGATATTGATGCTTTTAAAAATACTCTTGTCCTTCAAACCAAGCACATGCTTCATGGTTAAATCTATGGTAGGGGAAAATAGATTTCTTTGTAGTTGAGTTATGCCTGATTTTTCTCAGTAAACTACAGTGGAACCTGTGTGGTCTGCAAAAAAGTAATCTTTTTGCAGTAGTAAGAAAGACTACAATGACTGCTGGGGGGGACCTTTTAATCTGAACTGTACAGCTCATGAGAAATTCCCAGGTAATCCAGGGGTAAATCATTTTGTGTCAGTGTTTTGAAATTGTGACTCCAGGCAAAGGATGGCAGATTTAGACTTGAGCATTGTAAAATCTCAGATCTTTTGGTTTAGCTCTACGTTGTGTTTCTGTTGTTGGCGTTCGTACTGATTCTGTAGTCAGAAAAAAAGGTCATCCTTAGAGCTAGCCTGTCCTGTAGAGTTAGCTGTTGCCAAAGGATTACAAAATAGTAATAACCTTTAAAGTCTTTCTTTACAAATGAATGAGCAACTCCTTTGATGCCACCATTGCAGGTTAGTGGCAACACATAAACTGTCACTTAAGTGAAGTTTGAAACAAAATTTGTGGAAGATCTTTAAAACAAGGTTATTCAACTGTAATCAGAAAATCAGGATACTAGTTTGTATCACATTCATAAAACAGCGCTTTCAGTAGACACTGTTGTTTTAGTTGAAGTATAATGTAATGGTATGAAGATACTATAGCAAACAATATTTATTTTAAGGGCTTATGATTATTGATTTGCCTAAAGACTTAAAGAACTACTGTTCTGAAGGTGTTTAAGAACAATGGGAGATATTTTTGTGGAAGCAAAAAAGGAAGAGCTGTGGATGGAGCATCGAGCACTCAAGATCAGATTTGTTTTCAGTTGTTCAGTTAATAATTTTTCTTAGAGGAGTAAAAAAGAAGATTGTCAGTAGATTTGATTTATTATTATATTTTCCTGAGAAGAATGTAAGTGAATTCAAAAGGTAGAGAATCTTTTTTTTTTTTTTTTTTTTTTTTAAGCATTTTAGAGAGAAAAAAGGAGGAAAAAAAATTGATGGCCTCAGAAGAAAGGGTGTGGGAGAGAGAGAGGATGCTCTGCTGTGCTTCTGAGGGCTATCATCAGGAAAGGCTTAGCATGGTTGGGGCTTCTCAAGGGACAGTGAATGACAAAAGCTCTTCTAGCACTGCTGGGAACCTGGAACTGGAAATATAATTTTATTGAGATTTCTGTAAAAGATTTGGCATGCGATGGGTAAATTTTATGTGGTCTTGATGAAGAACCACACAGGCTCGTTCAGCTGAAAGCATGTCTGAAATAGGATTCTAATCTGAAATTTTTCAGGTGGAAGAGACTTTGGTTCTACAGTAATCCTGTGTATTGTAGAGATATTTTTTCTAACTGTGAAACCATAGTATTAATTACTGGAGAGCTAATCTTTCTGCTTTCCATGCCAGCCTGTTACTTGTTTCCAGTCACTGGTTCAAAAACGTTATATACATTGTTTCCTATATAGGTCCCTGAAGACAAGCGTAAAGGCAAAGTACTGCCAATATGCCCAACCTCATTTAACTCCGTTATGAACTTTAGGCAGTCTGTTAAAGGAATGAGTCACAGGCAGGGTATGCTTCTTATGTATAAGCATAAGCTTATGTATGAGCAGCTCCCAGTTGTACGTTGTTATGTTGTGCCATCCAGATCTTGGATGTGAACGTCCAGCTGGTACAATATCACATGCAAATAATAGTAATGAAAGATAGAAGCGATTTTTAAAGTCATTCTGGATCTAATGCAACGATTTAATGACATGAGCTGTATTAGGTTTAATAAAATGTCACTTTCTCAATTAATGTTTTCCAATAAGTTATTTCTAATATCATTCACTGCTCCTACCAATAAAACTCTTCTAAAAGCTCAGCAAAAATACACTGAAGCTTGGCTTGCTAATACTGTTGTCTGTTTTAAAAGCCTTTTATTATACATGAGCAAGAAAAACTAGTGTCTAGGGAAAAGTAGTTATAGCCAAAACATTACATTTTTTTCTTGCCTGTGGATATTTAAATAAAGGGGGAGGGAATACTGATCCAATATTGAATTGCCAGTGTTTGTTCTGTTTTTTTGCATGAATAATACTTGCTGCCTTCAGGTCCTCACTTCTTTTGCTGCCAAGCTGTTGCACAGATTCAGTGGGTTTTTTTAGAAAAACCTCTTTGAGAAACAATACTTCAGTGCCAGCAGCTTTACATTTCTGGTGCTGAAAGATTACTGGAATGTGTTTCATTAGAGATTCTTACATATTTCTTATCACTCTTTATTATACACGGTTATAAGGAAGTGCCATCATCTCTCTGTGTAAGTAGTAGAATAACCATAAAATACCTCTGCTGCCACTGATGGCTGAGTCTGAGCTTGTGCAAGCATCTGTGTTTTCATAATGCCACGACAGAAAAATCGAAAAGTCATGTTTTATAAGTAACATTTAGCTTTTGCACATAAACATTGTGTGTATCTTACAAAGTAACTCAAATCTGAGGGATACACTGAAAATATTGCTTCCTATGTTATTACGTTGGCCCATGACATCAGAGGTGATATGGTAGCTACTGCTGAACCTTCCCACCAGTATCCCATTACACACAGTTTCCATGTGACAGTTGTCAGCAGACGGACAGTCTGACAGAATGGTGTCTGACATGGAAGTGTGTATGAAGCAAAGGTGTGTCACTGAACTCCTCCATGTGGAAAGAATGGCACCCACTGACATCCATTAATATTTGTTAATTGTTTGTGGAAGCCAAACAGAGGATATGAGCACACTGAAAGCTGGACTGTGTGGGCAGCATTTTGCTAGTAGCAATACCATCATAGGAGCTGCGGAACAGTGCGTCACCTCCTCTGGTGCAGATGTCTGTGAGCACAGCGTGCAGGCTCCTGTTCATTGGTGAAAACACACAGCTGATTGTGTTGAATAAATCCTGAGCCTCCAGCTTTCATAAGCTGATTCTTAAGAAGTAGTTTTGCAAAATATATTCTTTTATTACTTTCTGAGAATTTACTTTCCTGAACTGCTTAATATCTGAAAATTTAGTGCGTTCCCTGTGGTCATTCCTGATTCTCCAACAAGTTGATTGTTTTTCTGTTTCTTTTTGTCTACTGCAAGAAAAATGCCAGTGAACCAGTCACTTAAACAGCATTTGTGATGTGGCAAGCCAATTTCTGTGAATCAAAATTAATAACAGAATGCAGTCAGTACCATCCCCAACTATAGTCACTGGAGGCTGCTCATACAAAGAGGGTGAAACAAAGGGATAGGTAGGGTAGGACAGCATCACGTGTATGCTTTCTGCTTTGAGTAGTTTATGATTTAGGGAATTCCTCAATCAGAATGTCTGGACCATCATACTTTTGATACCTCCTTTCTCTTTGCCCTTTCCTCTCTCTCTTTTTTTTTTTATTTAAACTTGGTTTCCAAAACATCATCATGACAATGAGATCCATGAGTTTACTGCACAGGAAAAGCTGCAGTTTTCTGTTTTTCCTAGTTGTGCTACTTGATAATTACACTGAGTGCCTTGTTACTGTATGTGTGACAGTGAGGGCTTCCTTTTCACCTTGTGCAGAGTTTTTATGATTTCATAGACTCGTTTTTATCTCCCCGTTTATTGCTTGCTATTCTAGATAAAGTAATCCCACTAAATATCCAACTATCCTTACCACCTTTTCAGTATGTTTCCGTATGTTCAGTATGTTACCATATCCTCTTTCAAATGGAGAGAATGAAAGTCTTACATGCTATTTAAAAATGAAACACAGCATTACCTTGGAGATTGAGATGGAGTGTTTGGACTTTTCTTAAGACTCTGAATGTCTCTTTACTTTCTGAATTCCGTAAGCATATATTCAAAGAAAAATCCAGCCCACTTCTATGTTATTGTTCCCGAGTGCCAGTCGCTGATGAAATAGTCTTTGTGTACATGTCAGGAGTTTTCCCTTACTCCTGTGTGCATCACTTTGCAGCCGCAAGCATGGAATTTCACCTATATTTTATTTCCTACTTGCTATACGGCACTGCTTTCTGCAGTCAGTTCATAGTCAGTTTATTTTTGGCAATTCTGAATAATTTCACATGAGTAAAATCTTCTGATTCCCTTCATCTTTCAGATCATTTAATTACATTGAACAGTACAAGTCCTTCTTTTTCAGAATATTCTCAAACTCACCATATATTCCTGATGTTTTCTGTCCTTAAAGACCTGAAAGAGGATGATCTAAATGCAGTAAATCAGAGCACGTGAATGTTGGAAAGCTTATCTGATTTCTGTTTCAGACTGACAATCCACTGTTGTTTTTTTTTTTTTTTTTTAACACCTCGTTGGAACTTTTCTCCACATCTACCCACCTTGCATTTACTCTGAGGAAGATGCCACTTCTGAGAAAGAACTGGGACTATTCCTTCTTTTTCTAATCTTTGGCATGCTAGGCAGCCAATAGGAGCCTCATGGTTTATCTTGCAGTCTGGCTTAATCACCTCCGTTTGAAGCATTTTTCTCATAAGTTAGATTGTGTACTAAGTACTAAGTAGTACTAAGACTAGTACTTTCAGACAGGATTGTACAAAGAACCAACATATCCAGTATCACATGAAAATGTGATAGGTAATTGTTAAATCATTATCTTCCATTGAAACCCAAGGATTATTAAATATCCTTCTTTCTAGTGAAGTTTTAAAGGGTTGAAGATGTATTCTACATTGAAAAAATGTAGAGACTTCTTATAAGATCAGACCTTTATATTGAAAGGCTTGAATTTACAGGACAATAATGAACTGGTCTGCAGCAGGCACAGCACTCATATTAAATACTGCATGTATGTAAGTGTTGTTGCTTAGCAAACTGCTGAGGGTTTAATTGAGTAGTTCATGTTTTTCTTGGTTGGAAGTAATTTTCTGGTGTGAACAGAATGTCTTCTGTAGAGGTAAAGAAGAAATTGCCTTAATAGCAGGAAAATGAAGATTGTAATTCAGAAAGACCTTTTTCTTTTGTTGCCATAGGATAACAGAATTTTTTTTCTTCTGAATTCTTTGTTGAGAAGAGCTCTCTGCTGTACGTGAAGGATGGTAAATGCTCCCTGTCAAAGGAAATTAAAGCATGAACTTTGAATCAGTGAGGATGCAGCTGTACCGTAGATGTGAAAATTTCTTGCACTCAACTTCACTATAAGCACAAAGTTTCCCTGTATTTGTCTTTAATTACGCATATGCAAATCTGAAAATCAGCTCTTCAGGAATTCCCAAGGGGCGTATTTTCTGCTTGGTATGATTTTAATTCTAGTTTAGTTGGTTTAGGGATTTGAATAATTTGTGAGTTGTTTCAGAATTGCTTAAGGCCTTCCAGTCCAGTTATTGATCAGTGAACTGGTATAATGAACTTCTTTATGCAGCTTTTTTTTTTTTTTTTTAACACAGACACCCCTTTTTTTCTTAATTTCAGAGTTGCCAGTGTCTGACTGTGGCAATTGTGAAAATGAAACTCCTCCACCTCTGCCACCACACCCTAGTGAGGATCTGCTGAATGAGGATCATAACCATAGGTTGGAGTTCATCTATTTTTCATATTTACAGCCCTGGTTGCTAATTGATGATTGTGATAATGTGGTTCTAATCAATTTTAAAATCACTTATTTTTTTGCAAAGATCTGTAGTATTGTTTTTACAGTCACCCAATCCTTCAGTATGAGCTGATAACATTTCTCTGGCATTTAGTGCTTTCCTCATAAGCTGCTCTGTGCCTCCTCTTTAAGATCTGTGGGTCACCTACTGAGCATGTGGTCAGTAAAACAAAGAGAATCCCCAAAACATAAACTCAATTAAAAAAAAAAAAAGAGTGAAGCATAGGTGCAGTGCCTAAAGTCACTTAAAGCTTTAAAAGCCCTAGCCAGATTCACTTTGTAGGAACACTAATCTTCTTACACAGCGTGTCAGCCTAAGAAATCTTCAAGCTTAGGAAATGGTTTTGCTAGGTGTGAACACTGAAATGTATAGAAAAAAATGTTAACAATGAACATTTTGCCAACTAGAAATGAGTTGGGTAAATTATTCAGATATTTTAAGAATGTATTTTTTTGAAGCTGATGTGCTTGATGTCAGCTACAGACTTTCTTTTCCTTTGCAAGTAGTGCAGAAAGAAAGAAAAAGTGATGAGGTTCATGCTGTGACTTATACCATGACTTAAGAGCACGGAATTCTCTTGGTAGCACAGGTTACACATATTTCAGCCTATTGTACTTTCAGGAGCATTGAACACGATTTACTCATTTTGTGTACACATTTAAGGTAGCCATGTGACTATTTTGTTTTAATGAAAAGTGGTGAGCATCCTTTCAACAAAACCTTAGCTGTACTTCTGTCCTTGTGTGTATTGATGTGGTTATAAACCAATCTTTAAATGACCGGTTGCAGGTAGTATCAGGCTACCTCAAATTCTTCCTTATCCTAACAGTCAGTAATTTCATTATAGTGATTTTATAATTTCTTCTCTCGTAGACATGTAGGGATGAAATAGTAAACAAAAAAACAACAACAAAAAAGACCTGGACTAATGGAATTCTCCATTGAATTCCCAGCTGCATTTGTTTTGTAGAATCTATTGCTAATTTTTCAACAAGCTGGGAGCAAAAACATTCCCTTAAATGATGATGATGTTTTAGGAGGATGATGTATTTAAAGGCCCTTTCTGCCTCCTTGACTTTTTTTCCCCAGTATTGTATTGGTTTTCCACTTGGATCATAGGCTGTGTTGAAATTGAATTTCTGTGGAAAGTCAAGCAGATTTCACTTAAAATGAATTATGGTGAAATGAACAAACCAAAAGTCCAACAACAACAACAACAACAATGCAGGAAAAATTTTGACACTATTAAACTGTTTTGATTGAAGAGTTCAGAAATGAATGTTTTTGATTTTGGAAGTTTTTGATCATATATTAAAAGAAAAAATCTTACTTAAAAAGGTGGGGAATTTTTCAGGTGTCTTTCTGTGAAGTGCTTTGACTCCTCACAGGGGAAAGTTACTTTGAGTTTCACTCATGGAATTTTGAGATGTTCAGGTATTTGTCTACCTTGATGCAAATTCAAGTATTTAAAAACAAACACTACACATTATCTTAAAATTCTCCAGAGAGTTATGACGCCTTACATAAGACCACCAGTTTTCACCCTCTGCCAAAGCATTCGGTGGCTGTATGCTTTTAGAACAGTTTAAGATGAACAGGTGAAGAATTGGAAGGGGTACAATGGTGATATTTTCCCCAGCTTTCTGTAGCATGTTATTTGGAAATGCAGTGGTAAAATGGAACTAACAGAACACGCACACACACGAAAAACACCCTAGCAAGTACTTGTATGTTCCTGCTTTCTTCTGCTTAATAAAATACGAATTGTGTAAAAGCAGCAGTTATCACTAAACATTTGCATTTGCAATGAAAAACAAGTGAGTAGAGGTGCTCAGTCTAACGAAGAAACCTTGAGAATCAATAACTGATTTTAAAATGCATGGCTGCAAGCAACTGGGAAGAAGAAACACATGTATAGTGTGCATGTTTTAATTAGATCACTTGTGTTCTGAGCTGGTGCCTAAATATTTTACATCATCTTTTTTTCTGCAGCCCTACCATAAATTCAGCAGTGTATTTAGCAGATCAGCACATCAACTTCACATCTTTGACACCAGCCAAGCAGTCTGAATCAATTAATCTGAAAGCCTCAAAAAGCATGGATCTGGGTAAGAAGGGGTGGGGTGACACATAGGTCAGCTTTTTAGCCTCGGCACATCTGCACCATCTCTGTTTCTTGCTTTTGTTTCTTAAACACAAATATCAGGGAGCAAGTTCTGCAGAGGAGCTGTGGTGATGGGGACCGTGTTCTGTCTCGTGCAGCATCTTAATTACGAATACCCTATTTTAGATACAAGAAGAAGAGTGTGTTTCTCTTTTCTTGAAAGGCCATTCTATCCACTGTATTGAAATCTTAGCTGAGGAAAAGGGAGCTTTTGTAAAAAATGAGCAGAAAGAATAACGGTACAAGTTTTATGTGTCTAAAAATATAGCAAAACAGCAATAATATAAGTTTTTTTTTTGTATGAAATATAAATGATTGCCAAACTACTATGGACAAAGGCTAACTTTCTTAAAACAAGTTGTATGTTTTTCATTGACAATGACAAACACAGGCAATCAAAGCACTGCAGTAAATCTTTATAAATGCTTGAAGAGTGGTAAGGTTATGGTTCTCTACCCATCAAAGCTGCGCAGAAAATCTTGCAGGCTGGGTGAAACAAAGTAAATGATTCTTTCAATATTGATAAAGCATTTGTGAGTGAAAAATTGAGGGGTTATTGCAGTTGAAAACTGTGTCATGTTTTGATGATAGTTCAAGGAAAAATTTGCAAGGTTCTTAAGCCGTGAAGAATCAGAAACCAAATAAGCATGCCTTTTGCCTTCTAGTTCTTTGTGGCACTAGTCCTTTATCTTCCCTTTTCAGATTAAAGTGTTGAGGGGAGTAACTTAGGGAGCTATCATTAGGGTGTGTTTAACAATAGATTTGTGTTTTGTTGGATCAGACTTTCATAGACAATTAATATATTCTTATGTTGTATAGAGATAACTGTTTGTGATAGGTGTTTTTTTTTTCTTGAAATGTTCAAATTTGGTCTTAGTTTTTTTATCATTGATTCTTATTTCTTAGTACTGTAATATTATTTTAATGTACCATTAAGTGTGTGTGCTTCTATAATGGAGTGCTATGAACAGTTACTAACACACGGTAAGGATGATTTAGAGTGGTTTCTTAGACAAAAAACACTTCAATTTTGAAGTGCATGACCTGACCAGAAATGTGTACTTTTGCATTCTATTCCACCCTTTTGACAAAGAAGGATGCATTAGATAGATTTCTTTTTCATGTTCTCTTTTTTAATTGTTGTTTAATGTTACTGCATGTACTGAAGAAAGAAATGAGCTTTATGTACTTCTTGTAGTCAGCACCTGGTTGCTTTTCTGTGCAGCCTACTATAGGGATCCTGCTCTAGCAGGGCAGTGAACTAGATATCTCCAGAGGTTCCTTCCAGCCCTACAATTCTGTGATTCTGGAAGGTAAAAAAAAAAAACAAAACATCATGTTCAACTTTGCAGAGCCTTTTTTTGGCTCATTTAACAGCTCCCACAGAAGTCATTATGAAAGAATGCTTGTAAGCAGCAATACAATATTAGGCAATGAGAATGTGCTTGAGAGCATGTTACGAACTACCAGGTAATTTGCCCTTCTTTTCCTCCAGTTCTTGTGTTCATTTATATTGTAAGATTCAAAGCAGTGTAAACAATCTGCTTTTGATACACACGCGTGATACTTTGAGAATGTACCTGATTTACTTAATTGTAGTGGTTTTAAAAAAAAAGTGTGTAGATGTCCTTAGTGTCTAAAAATAATAATTGTTCCTTGTGGAAGGTAGTTATTAAAAATGCAAGTAAAACCGAAAGGGATAACGATCAATCTGGTTGGGAACACTCATGTTTTATCTTCTTCGTGCATGGTGATGTGGTAGACTTGTGTATTCACAGTTATTTGGAGGAAGAAATATAATGCAGCTGCACATTGAAAGGTTGTTTGTATGGTTTTTTTAAGTAAATTCCTACTTTATTAAGGAAATGTGCCTGATTTTAATCATTTTGTTAAGGCTGCTAGTTGCTAGAAACATGAGAATTTCTATCTTGTAGAAAAATGAAGCTAGGACCTCTTACAGGCATTCTTTAGTAAGTGGTGAACCACTGTGTTCAGTTTTCTACTTATAAAAGATTTTAATTGAAAGCTTTTGGCTGGAAAGGTAAGGGGAAGAGGAACATGAAAATCTGAGTTAAAGAACTGCAATATAAACACTCCTAATGCAACTAAAATTTCAGTAATTTGGTACCTAAAACTGTGCTTCCAAAGAGAATATTCATATAATGTACATTCCAAAGTGTAATTTTTGGAGAAGGAAGTTCTTAGTGTAGTTTTATATTACATGTATTATTTAACTGCAGTCGTCACCCATAGTAAGTTCTCATCCCTGCTGAGTACCCGTTATTGATTTCAGTGTGATGCTTGCCAGTGCAGAAAAGGTGAAAAGTGCTGCTGTCTTTATCTTTTCCACCCGGAGTTGTGGGTTCTGTCTGTGAATGACTTGTTGGTATCACAGAGAAACCTTATAGCAGATTTGGTAACAAAGGATGTTTTTGCTATCTGAAAATATAACCACTAGGCCCTCTTTTTCTGGCCATCACGTGTTCTACAGTTCTACTGTTCCTTTCCAAAATAAATAATACGATGAACAGAAAAATAACAGAAATCCAGAAGAAAAGCTTTGAGACTTCACAAAATGTGACTTAAATGCAGTTTCTTTCCTTTAAAACCAAATAGTGTCTAAGCTGAGTGTCACCCCAGATTTGGAAAGACAACACCTGTCTGTCCTTAAAGGTGTAAGGTTCAGAAATCACCTGGGTATCTTTAGACAAAAACAACATCCTAGTATCTTTAGAACAGAATTAACGTAATTTAGAGTATAAATGTGAAATCTTTACTGCTATTCACTTGGAAATCATTGCATTTTACTTTGGAATATGCTTATAATGCATGGATTGCATTGTTATGAGATGAAAATGGTATGGATTACGTGATGGCATCATCTTAAGAAGGATCATGAAAGGCAGGTAGCAAGTTTAAATATGAGAAGCTGAGAATCCTGGCATTGCTACAGATTGCAAACCTTAAGGCAGTATACTAAATTTGTCAGATTAGGGAGGTATTGAAATTACAAAGTAGGGATCTTCTCATTTTGATGAGGGCTGACATATGCTTAAAAGGCAAATTTGTTAAGTAAAGACCAGTCTATAATTATACAGATTCACAATACAAGCCCGTTTAAAATGATGTTCATCTTTTCAGTTGTATGTATATTAGTGACTCCAAAAGTAATGCCTCCTATTTATTTCCATGGAAACTACAACAGATTCAAAGAGCACAATAACATTACTTGACAGAGCAAACTCTGAGCTACGAAATGCTATTTTTCAACAGTCATCATCATTAGCTGTGCATTTTTGCCAGCAGTGAATGTGAGCCTACGTGTCATGCTTATAAAAATCTGTATGGCAGTCTGGAACACGGCTTGTCTTTTGCATCACTGTCACCACTGCTGAAAGGCTCCACCCACTGCCTCACTGTGCTCACATCCTCTGTTTGATCTCCAGAAACGATCAGCAAATGTTGATGAGTGCCAATGGGTGCCATTTTTCTTTTCCATACGGGGAAACTCCATGTCACACCTTTGCTTTGTACGTACTTCCATGTCAGATGCCTTTTTGTCAGATTGCCCCTCTGCTGATGTCTGTCAAACAACCTGTTGATGTCTGCAACAAAATGTAATGGAATATTGGTGGAAAGGTTGAATTTCTATTTCCCTGCCACTATCAGTTTCCTCTGACATTATGGGCCAACATTATAGAATAGGAGGCATTATTTGTGGAGCAGTCCTTCATATTTAAAGCCCAGAAACTTTTGAGTCCCTAATCAGTTTTCCAGTCGCATTTGTTTACAAAATCATAATTTGTAAATTAATACCTTCAGTGAAGGGTATCAGGAAATAAAGAGAAGAAATGTAAGAGTGCATGGTACTATTAGCACGTAGCATCATCATTCCACGTATCAAATCTTGTAATGGAAGGGGTGTGGCATGTACAGGGAGAGCTGTAAGTTAATTGTCAGTAGGAAGAAATGGTTTGGTTTGTTGATGGATGGCATGTTTCTTGTTGTTGTGTTGTTGATTGGACAACTGGACAGGAGCAGAAGACATGAACCACTGCCACTTGGTTGTTCAGGCAGGGCTCATGTGTGTGCCAGGAGGTGTATGAGCTGGCATGAATGAAAAATGGCAGTGTCTGGAGGTAGTGTGTTTGATGGTCTCTTTAACTGTAGATGAGTCAGATTTCGCTTGAATACACTTAAAAAGTCAATAGTATGTGTGAGGTACTGTTGTAGAATATCTTAAAAAATAAAAATAATACTATGAAGCAGCTATAGCGGTCGTGTGGTATTTTCTTTGGTTTTGCAGGTATGTGCAGAAAATTCTACATAGTATGTATAGATGTCTTTATACCAGGTGTATGAGGGCAGCAAAAATGTTATCAATGCGTCTTGATCACTTTAGCATCCATCTTTGAGGTGGTGGTCAAAGGCTGCTTTGAATTTACTGCTTCATTCGGAATGTTAGGATACAGATTAGTTCCATTTCAGCTGCAAGTCCTAATGTGCTTCCCTGCAGCTGTGTTAAGATAATGACAGTACTTTCTGGGTTAGTGATAGAGTTCATATCTTGTGTCCTATGGTATACTTTTTCTTTGCCTTGTCTACTTTTATTTTGTACTGGTGACAAAATAACACCACCACACATTTCCTTTTATTAATCATGGCACTTGAAAAGTGTCCACTTGGTTGGATGATTTCTTATGGATGACAGTGCTTGAATATATTAGCAGGAAAAAGAAGTGTCCTTTTGCCATGATTTCAAGAATTTGTGCAGACCAGCCAATGTCTGACTTGGATTGCTTACTTGTACTGATTAGATTTAGACTGCTTGCCAAGTCTGGACCTGTGCTTATGATGCCATGTTAAAAACTAGTGAAACAAATTCAGAAATGCTGGAAATAAATTTGGTGTTGTGCCTTCCCACTTCTGATGTAAGTCATACTT